CAATACATGGGAAAAAAAATGCATGCCATGAACGGCATAGACGAGCGTGCAGAAGCCATGTGAAGGAAAATTGAAAAGCGCGGACCGTATAACAAGCGAGCAGACGCCGACTGACAGAAGAAGAGACGCTCAGTTTGGAAAGATTAACGTAAACGTACACTGTACGTAAAAAAAAAAAAAAAAAAAAAAAAAAAAAAAAAAAAAAAGAGAAGCGAATATCTTTGAGCAAAAAAGAAAAAAGAAATACAGCAGAGTTTACGAGAACGACCAAAGTAAGGGCATATGCAGAACACATGTGATGGATTTAATTAACCCGGGGTAGACCTGAATTATAAACCCGATAAGTAATGGATAGGAAAAATGTGTGTCACGGGGACAACTCTGTATTGATAATATTCGTAAAGGGGTTACAAGACAAATGTGGTGATAATAATAGAAGTAGATGTCCTTAGGCAAGACACTAACTAATCCTTTTATACTAGCCAAGACTCCCAACCGCCCCCATATTCTCGCGGGGCAGTTGGATCACGCGTTGACCGGGTCCATGCGAGTGCCCGGGGCCATCTTGTGCCTCCAGGCCCACGTAGGCCTCTCTCGAGGTCGTAGGCCTTCGCGCCGGCCTTCCCGGGTCGGTTCGCCCCGAGCCCATACTCAATATATCCATCATCAGTTCCCCACTCTCCGAGTTGCGAGTCATCGTCAACGAAGGAGAGTAGCCTGAGTCGAAGGTTGAGCCCAAGCCCGCAAAGTATTGTCCATGCCGCGCCCCCGGGCACCCGCGTTGCGCTCGGGACTTCCTCCTCCCCGGGACACCCATGAGTCTTGGATTCCCCCCTTCCACCAATGCCTAGGGAAACCCACATGCCACACCCATCAACTCCCCTCAACTTTCCCACTTCCCAAAGTTTGACATTTTCTCTTCTTATCTTCTTATCCCATTTTCAAAATTCAAACTTTCCAACTACCCAAAATCTACTCCCATCCTCTCTCCACTTTCCTTACTTAAACCTTCTTCCCCTCCATCTCTCACACTCCTCACTCGCCACTCCCACACACCCTCTCCCCCGTCGGCCCTTCTCACACCGCCCCCTCGCCACGCCACCGTCCCCGTGCCACGCCAACCTCCTCATCGCGGCCCTCCGACTTCCCCAATCTTCCCAACTTTTCCAAACACCCACTCCACTCTTTCCCCCTCTCACCCCTACTTAGAATCTCTCCCTCTCTCACCGCCCACTCCACTCTCTCTCTACCCGCAGGCCTCACCCCCTTACCGTGCTACACCGGCGACCGCCCCAAGGCTCTCCGGCCTCCCCACTCTCCCCCCTTTAGCTCCGACTTCCTCCCCGTATGTCCGCCGAGTTCGACGCCGCCGAGTTTGACGCCATCGATTTTAGCGATCTCTTCGTGTCTTTAGGCGATACCAATCCCTCCATGGACCCTGAGGAGGACATTTTCGGCCCCCCATACGGCAACCGAGGCCCGCACTGGCCTACCCAACGATACCCCGGTCGAGGCTCGCCCCCTTCAAGCCGTGCCCGGGGCCACCGCCACCTCCACTCGTAAGTTAACTCGTTCCGAACTTGACCCCACTATTCCCCGTTCCGTGCGTCCTTATATTACCAAGGAAGACTTGGACCTCGTGCTGTTGTACGTGGGACCCGGCGTGGAAGTCCTCGCCCCCCTCCCGCACGAGAATGTCACCGAGCCCCCGGAGGGCCGATTCTTTGGCGTCCACGTTCTTTCTCTAGCCTCGGGCCTACGGTTCCCTCTCCACCCCTTCGTGGTCGAGTTGTTGAACCTCCATGGGGTCCCTCCGGGACAACTAGTCCCCCACTCTCACTCCATACCAATAGCATTCCTTCTCCGTTGTGAGGACGTCGGGGTCGCGCCCTCCCTCGATCTTTTCCACTCTATTTTTAAAGCCGGAAATTCCTCGGGGGTTAAAAGCAAAGGTTTCATGGCTTTTGCAGCCCGTGCCGGTATGAAAATTTTCAAAGACCCCAAAACTGTTGAATGGAAATCCAAGTTCGTTTATCTCTCCGTAGGCCCTGAGCTCCCCTTCCATGCCCCCGTGTGGAACACCCATTTCCTTAAATATTCCACCCCTCCGGGCACCCCTTCCTTAGCTGCTAGCGCCAAAAAATTCTTAGGAGACAAGGAGGAGCTTAGGATGGAGGCCTTGATGACCCCGGAGAGGTTGGCCGCCTTGGGCTTCATAGGTGGGGCTCCGCCGTCCCAGGCGTTATCGGCCTCCCGGGGCCAACCTGGGCACGAGGCCGCCCCTTCGGGGCATACCTCAGCCTCCTCGGACGAGCTTGAGGCCGAGGGTCACTATGGGGTCCCCTCGGGCGATGCCTTGGCCGAGGGGCCGGAGGACCATGAGTTCGTCTTCTCCGCCACCGAGTCCGAGATTGAGGTTGCCCCATCCGAGGTCGAGGTTGTCCTGCCCGAGGTCGAGGTTGGCGTCGAGCTCCGCCCCGCCATGCCAGGAGGTCGCTCTCGTCCCCTCTTTCTCGTCCTTATATATATTCAGCTGTATGTCTCTTGCTTTTCTTTTTATCACAAACTGCCATATCTGATAAACACTTTCTACTTGCAGGTGGGTCCTCCACGATGGTTTCTCGCGGGGAACTGATACGCCGTGCTGCCGCCACCCGGGGTCCTGCATCCAAGAGACAGAGAGTCGTCCCCGAGGGGACCAGCCGTGCCCCTCGGGTGCCGCCTGCCGACACACGAGCTAGGACTCGAGTTTCCGTTCCTCCTGGCGTCGTGGTTACTTCCGCGCCTCCCGCTTCTGCCCCTCCCAGCGGGCTGGCTTCTATCTCTCTTGGCAAGGCGGCCCGCCTTCGGGACACAGTCTTAGGCATGCTTGGGCCTGGAGCGACGGAGTCTTTTCGGGCAGATGGGTTGCCCCCCATACTTCATGATAGTCTCTCGGTACTCCCCGTTTCTTGACTTTTATGCATTTACTTTGAATGTTTGCACATCTCTTACCCCCTCCCTTTTCAGGTGTTTCTCCGCAGCTCCGTAGCGCTTGAGGAGGTCGAGTTCGCGAAGGCGTAGGCGCAGGAGGCCAATCAACAGGCCGATGACTTGAGGAAGGCTCTAGAGGCCAAGCAGGCAGAGTGCCGCAAGATAGCCCAGGACTTCGAGGCTGCCAAGAAGAGACACTCGGAGGAGATCATCCGCGTCGTTCGCAGCTACAAGAGATCTGATGGTTTTCGTTGTGATGTGAAGGCCTATGCCGACGAGCATTCGGAGGCCCTGGTGACCGCTTGGTTGGCTACGGCCCCGGGCCAGGAGAGACTAGCAGAGGAGGGTGCGTTCTCCTACAACTTGGGATGCTACTCGACGCAGCGTGATATCTATGCCCTTCTCCGTCAGCGAGATGAGAGCTTTACCCCCGAGACTTGGGGGCTACCCGCTGAGTTGGCAGACCCCGAGGCCGAGGAGCTGGGCCCGGACCCTCCGGAGGAGACGCGGGCAGAGATCGACGTCAACCTGGACCCCTCTCATACACAGACATCCTCCTTGGTGGCTGGTTCTTCCTGCGACGGGGTCGCCTCTGAAGCTTTGGAAGCGGAACATCCAGCCGCCGGTCGCCAGGAGGGCGCCCCTTAGGGAGTCGTAGATGATGGCCCTTAACTCTTTATTTTGCTATGTATTTTGGATTTCTAGACTTTATGTACGGAACTGTTGGTTTATAACTTGCCTTGCTTCGGATACCTTTCCGCGTTCGATCATATTTCTTATTATTAGTATTTATTTTTTTTACACTCTCAGGCCGGAGGTTAGCGAGGCCAGGCCTTGTGCCTCCTCAGGGCAGCCGTCGGCCCCAAGTCACCGGACTTGGGTCGCTAGGCTCTTCCGTCGGAGTTGGTACGCGAGGTCGGGCCTCGTGCCTCCTTAGGGCAGCCGTCGGCCCCAAGTCACCGGACTTGGGTCACTAGGCTCTTCCGTCGGAGTTGGTACGCGAGGTCGGGCCTCGTGCCTCCTTAGGGTAGCCGTCGGCCCCAAGTCATCGGACTTGGGCCGCTAAGCTCTTCCGTCGGAGTTGGTACGCGAGGCCGGGCCTCGTGCCTCCTTAGGGTAGCCGTCGGCCCCAAGTCACCGGACTTGGGCCGCTAGGCTCTTCCGTCGGAGTTGGTACGCGAGGTCGGGCCTAGTGCCTCCTTAGGGCAGCCGTCGGCCCCAAGTCATCGGACTTGGGCCTCTAAGCTCTTCCGTCGGAGTTGGTACGCGAGGCCGGGCCTCGTGCCTCCTTAGGGCAGCCGCCAGCCCCAAGTCGCCGGACTTGGGCCGCTAAGCTCTTCCGTCGGAGTTGGTGCGCGAGGTTGGGCCTCGTGCCTCCTTAGGGTTAGTCAGAGGTGTCATACGAGTGTAGCCACCCCCCGATGAGTGGGATGAGTCCTTGGCGAAGTACTATTACGTTTTATTGAAATCAGAAAGGGGTGGATCACCTTACAGGAAAAGAAATAAAACGGAAATCATCACTGAAAGTATTTGAGCAGGTGCTCAGAGTTCCACACCCTATCTATCGTCTTGCCTTTCGGGGTTTTGAGTTTGTAGCTGCCGGGACGGACCACGGCTGTGACTATGTACGGGCCTTCACACCTCTTAGCAAATTTGCCTCCCTCGAGGGGCTGACTTTCTTCGCGCCTCCTCAGAACGTAGTCGCCGACCTGGAAGTAACGGGGTCGGACTCGCTTGTCATGGTAGGCTTTGGCCTGGCGCTGGTAATTTTCTGCCCGGGTGGTCGCGGTCTCCCTCTTCTCGTCGATAAGGTGGAGCTCGATCTTGTGGTTGTCCTCGTTCATGTCGGGGTCGTACACTTGGGCCCGATAGGGGGGGATGGCGACCTCCGCGGGGGCCCGGGCTTCAAAGCCATAAGATAATGAGAATGGGGTCTCCCCGGTGGCCCTCCTCAGGATGGTGCGGTAGGTCCAGAGGACGACATCCAACTCCTCCACCCATGCGCCTTTGGCAGATTCTAGATTCTTCTAGAGTCCATCCACGATAGTGCGGTTGACATTTTCGACTTGGCCGTTAGCCTGGGGATAGGAGACGGCTACACGGGTATGCGTTATGCGCCATTGGGCACAAAACTCACTGAACTCCTTGCTCTCGAACTGGCGCCTGTTGTCCGTGATGATCTGCATTGGGACCCCGAAGCGGAACAGGATGTTCTTGTAGATGAACTGTTTGCACCGGGCACTTGTGATGCTGGCTAGGGGTTCGGCTTCTACCCACTTAGTGAAGTAGTCCACTGCTACTACTATCAGGTACTTCCTCTTGCCCGATCCCATTGGGAGGGCCCCGACCAGGTCGACCCCCCACCGGGAGAACGGGATGACTGAACTGATCGGGGTGTAGTTAGTGGCTGGGCGACCTGGGCCCACCTGGAATTGCTGACAGGTTGGGTAGCTCCTCGCATAGTCTGCGCACTCCTTGGCCATCCGAGGCCAAAAGTAGCCCTGTAAGATGGCCTTCCGGGCCATGGTATAGGCCCCCTGGTGGGCGGAGCAGGTCCCCTCGTGGATTTCCTCCATGACCGCCCTTACTTCCTCGGGGTACAGGCAGCGCAACAAGGTGCCGTTGTAGGATCGTTTGTAGAGTGTGTCCCCGATGAGTAGGTAGGTTGGGGCCCTCCGCTGAACGAGCTTGGCGTCTGCTTCGTCGGGTGGCAGGGCGCCCAACTCCTTGTACACTTTGAGGTGGTCCAGCCAGCAGGCGGAACGAACTTGCACGGGAAGGACCGGGTAGGCCTCGAGGCTGGACCTCGCGAGGTCTTCCACCCGGGCGATCTTGGAGACATGTTCGGGGGTGCCTTGTCCGAGTTTGGAGAGCATGTCCGCGTCTATGTTCTGTTCCCTTGGCACCTGCAGGACTTCGTGGTGGGCTAGCTGTCCCAAGAGTTGTAGCACTACGTCACGGTACCTCCTCATCCTGTCCTCGTTGGCCTCGAACTCCCCCGTAACTTGCCCCACCACGAGCCTGGAATCACATCTTATATTCAGCTTCTCGGCCCTCATGCTCAGCGCGAGCCGGAGACCCCCGAGGAGGGCCTCGTACTCGGCCTCGTTGTTTGACAATTTGAAATGGAAACAGAGCGCGTAGTAGGCCCTGAAACCCTCGGGGGTTACGAGGACGACCCCGCCTCCGCACCCCTTGGCACTCGAGGATCCGTCTGTTGATAGGGTCCACCACTCTTCCTCCTCGCTTCGGGCCTGTTCGGTGGCCTCCCGGGCGGTGCATTCGACTATGAAATCGGCAAGTGCTTGTCCTTTTATAGCAGGTCTTGGCTTGAACTGGATGTTGTACTGGCTTAAGCGCATGGACCACCTTACCAACCTGCTGGCCGACCCCGAGGCCCTTAACACCGACTCCAGGGGCTGGTTTGTTAAGACCTGAATGGGGTGCGCCTGAAAATAGTGATTGAGTTTCTTTGCGGTTACGTCTACTGCGAATATGGCTTTCTCGGTGGGAAAGTACCTGAGCTTGGCTCCCCGGAGGGCACGACTCGTAGAGTAGATGGGGCGTTGCACACCCGCGTCGTCCCGGACCAGCACGGAGCTGATCGCGGCTTGTGATATACCCAAGTACAGGTACAAGGTCTCCCCTCTCACGGGCTTGGCGAGCGGGAGTAACGACATCATGTAGGCCTTGAGGTCGTCGAAGGCCTTCTGGCACTCGAGGGACCACTCGAACCCCGAACTCTTCTTGAGGACCGCGAAGAAGGGCAAGGACTTCTCGGCCGACCTCAAGAGGAACCGGCCGAGGGCCGCTAGCTTGCCGTTCAGGCGTTGGACCTCCCGGAGGGACCGCGGAGGCTCCATGTCCAGGATAGCCCTCACCTTGTCAGGGTTGGGCTCAATGCCCCTCTTGGAGACCATGTAGCCCAGAAACTTGCCCCCGTGCACCCCGAAAGTGCATTTCTTGGGGTTCAACCTTAAATCATAACGCTGCATAATGGAAAATACCTCGTCTAAGTCGCTGACATGGGTATCGGCCTCTGCGCTTTTGACTATCATGTCGTCCACGTAGGCCTCCATGTTGTGGCCGAGGACCTGCTTGAAGACCTTGGCGACCATCCTGGTGTAGGTGGCCCCGGAGTTTTTGAGCCCAAAGGCCATGACTCTATAGCAGAAGACCCCTTCTGGGGTTGTGAAAGCCGTCTTCTCCTCGTCGTCCTCATGCATGAAGATCTGGTGGTACCCCCGGAAGGCGTCCAGGAAGCTCATGAGGGCGCAGCCTGCCGTTTCGTCCACCAGCTGATCGATATTTGGTAACGGGAAGGGGTCCATGGGGCAGGCTTTGTTGAGGTCGGTGTAGTCCACGCATATCCTCCAGGTGGGGGGTTTGGGGCCGAGGACTACGTTGGCCAGCCATTTGGGGTATAGGACCTCCCGGACGTGCCCTATCTCGAGGAGGGTATTGACTTCCGTCCTCACGAACTCCCGCCTCTCTGCGGAGAGGTACCTCTTGCGCTGCTGCACCGGCTTGGCTGTGGGGTCGACGGCGAGCTTATGGGTGATGACATCCCTACTGAGGCCCGGCATGTCCTCGGGTCCCCACGCGAACACCCCTTTGTAAGCCCTGATTACGCCAATGATGCGGGCCCGGAGCTCAAGGGCGAGCCCGGTTCCCACCTCCACCACGCGATCGGGGCGGCTAAGGTCGAGGACGACCTCCTCAGTCTCCACTACGGGCTCAGCTCGAGGGCGGCCCTCCTCCTCTTTCAGCGCCTTCTCTGCTATGGTGTGCACCTGGAGGTCCCGCTTGCCTATCTGTCGGCATGCTCGAAGGTAGCAACTCCGGCTGATCCTTTGGTCTCCCCGGGCGACCCCGACCCCGGTTGGCGTGGGGAACTTGAGGCGTAGGTGTTCCATAGAAATTATACACCTAAGGTCCTCCAGGGCGGGTCGACCTAGGATTACATTGTGAGCGCAGCTGATTCTGACCACCACGAATTCTACCTCCAACCTCTTGGTGTGTGGCGGGGCGCCTATCTCGACCTCGAGGTTGATTGACCCTTCTGTCTCTATGGAATCCCCTGTGAACCCGGACAAAGGGGTTCTCACTTGTCCCAGCTGTTTCCTCGATAGCCCCAACTGGGTGAATGTGTCATGGTACATCACGTTCACCGAGCTGCCTGTGTCCACCAATACTCTGTGCACGACCACCTCGTTGATCTCCCTCCTGGGCCTCTTCTCGTGCGGTGGTCGCACGACCTCGCCCACGTAGAGGCTCCGTGCCCATTTCTTCCTCTCTGCGGGCGTTTCTCCCCCCTCGGCTCCCCCGAAGATCACATGGATGGCCTGTTTCTTCTGGGGGTGGGGGTTGTCTAGTTCTCTTTCCTCCTCATCAGTGAGCTGGCCGAGCTCCCTTTTGCGTGGCGCGGAGGCGGAGGGCTCGGAGCTGCCTCCCTTCCTCCACACGCGGCCCTGATGCTAACCTTGGCCCTGCCCAGGCCACTGCACGAACTGACCCAAGTAGCCTCTCTGGATGAGCTCCTCAATCTGGCGTTTGAGGAGGATGCATTCGTCCGTGTCATGCCCTGATTGTCGGTGGAATTTGCAGTATTTGTTGTGGTCGACCTTCGGGGATATCTTCATGCACTCCCCCGGGTACTCTACGATCCCCTGGCCTTCCGCATGCTCCAGGATTGTGCTGACGAGCTGCGTCAGCGGGGTGAGAAATCGTGTTGGGGTCAACCTGGGCCCCTCAACGTACTCGCGGCGGGGAGGCCTGGGTGCCCGGCGGTCTTCTTGGGGGCCTCGCGCCGGGGCGGCCGCGTTGCTTGGTGCTCCTCCCAGGGTACCTTGCCTTTACGGTCTTTCCCCTCCTCCTCCTCCTTCTTCCTCTTCTCGGCTACCTCCGCGTCAGCAAACCTAGAGGCACAGTCCATCAACTCGGTGTAGGTCTTGGGGGGGTACCGGATGAGGTCCTGGTGGAAGGCGCCAGATCTAAGGTTGCTTCTGAAGATGGGTATGGCCGCTTTGTCGTCAAAATTGGAGACCCCTATCGACTCCTTCTTCCACTTGCTGAGGAAGTCGGCCAGGGACTCCGAACTCCTTTGTTTCAAAAAACATAAGTCAGCGAACTGCTTCTTTTTCCGCATATGGCCAGCGAAGTAAGACAGGAAACGTCTCGTGAGGGTGGCGAAGGTCGAGATGGATCCTTCCGGCAGGGACCCGCACCAGTCCTGTGCGTGGCCGTCTAGGGTCGAGAGGAAGCCTCGGCACATGATAGCGTCGCTAGCCCTAGTCATTAGCATGGTAGCTCGGTACCTGTTCAGGTGTTCACGCGGGTCAGTCGTCCCGGAGTACGCTTGAATAGTGGGGAAACGGAAGTTCGCGGGGAGGGGCTCCTCCATGATGTCCCGCGTGAAGGGGGGCGGTCAAGACGTCCAGAGGCTCCGGGGACCCGTTCCTGTCATTGATTTGCTTTTGCATTTCGTCCATCCGCCTGCGGAGTTGTTCGACCTCCCCGCGATGGGAGCTCGGAGCTCGACCATTCGACTCTACCGATCGCTCGACCCGGGAGTGTTGCTCTTGCCGCGCCGGGGCACGGGGCCCCTAGCTTGCCGATCGTCTCGCCTGTGACTCCTGCTGCGGCGGGGCTCGGGGCCTCCTGTTGGGCGAGTTTCGCGAACATGACCCTGCGGCGGGCAGCCCGTCGGCGGCGGGCCTTGGGCCCAACCTGTCCCGGGCAGACACGCGAACGCCCAACCTCTCCAGGGCGGGCCTGGCTGGGGCCGACCTCCCTCGGACTCTCCCACCATCTTGATGTTGATCCAGGCGGATGTTGCCGCCCCCCCGCCTGTCCGAGGGCCGGGGCGAGTTAACCTCCCCCTCCGTCTGGGCAGCATGGGCGCGGGGTGGCCGGCTCGGGCCGCTACGCCCCCTCGTGGGGGCCGGAGGCGGAGTCGGGGCACTTCGGGCGGCCTCCGAGCCGACCGGAATACCTTCCTGGAGCCCCCGTGCGAGGCGGTTCAATGTCACTGAAGCTTGTTAGAGGGCGGCCGCACCTTTCCCGGAAGAGGGCAGCATCCGGGGGAGGGTGGGCGGCCACCGCACCGTTGCAGTGGTTGTTGAGGCGATCTCTGAGGTCACCCGCCGACCTCAAAGAAGGGACTTGTGGCTGACTAGTGGTCCCGTTGGGGCCACCCCTAGGAGGGGTGGCACGGGTGTTACGGGAGCCGCGAGAGTTGGACCTCGACCATGCCATCGTGGGATATGGAGCACGCTCGAGCTTGTACGTCAACTCTCACCAAGCTCTAGCGTGCTCTCCTTAATCAAACTTTTTTTTTTTTACAAAAACAACACCTCAAGAATGATGAGATCCGTCTCCACCGATCACAGCGATCCCTCTTCAGTTACCTTACACCATCTCACCTCGCATGTTAGCCTTACACACCCCCAAAATGATCTCATCTCCCATGTTGGCTTTAGGCAATGATTCAGGTGCCGAAACTAATTCCCTCCAGTTCCCTAACATCATTAACTATATATCCCTCTCTGAAACCTCCCATCTTCTTCCCATACCCATATACACAACATACATGCATGCACATGCATATGTCTTAGATTAGATACATACATACAAATATATTTTGCATGCAGTAGTAGAAGGACGTACGAAGGGCGAAAACCCCAGAACTGCTGCACTATTTATTACCAGTGAAACACAATTCTTCGTTGCCGGGCTACGATGACTCCGCCGCGCTTTCTGTCCCTGAGAATCCAAAGCCCCAATCCAAAAGCCCACGAGTTATCTTTGCCATTCTACATATTTCAGGGAGCTTTTATTTGCAATCATTGTTTTGAAAAAAAAAAAAAAAAAAAAAAAAAAAAAAAGATTGCAATGGCAACGACCCTGTGCATCGATCCGTAGAGACCGCGACTCCACCACATCCAATGCAAGCCCCATGAGCGTTATAAGTGTGGAGTTGAAGATTGCGATTCCGAAGGTCCGTCGGCTTGGGCTCTTCCCTGTGCGGTCTCCATGCAAGATTGGCCTGAGCCGTTGGTTATGAGCGGCTTCCCGATGATCAACTTGCTGCTCTAGAAAATGGCGGCCGCGTTCCCGAACATGAAGTTGATGGTTCCGGTGATGGTGCGGTCGCGGTAGAACTGCCGGTGGACATGCACGTAGAGGGTGGTGACTGTCCACTTGACAGTTGTAGAAGATGATCTTGTACACCTCCAAAAAGGCCTCTGATCTTACTTCAGCTTTGATGAATGCTATTGGAGGTTGAGGGCAGTGACAATAATCATCAAATTCGACTGCAAATTTTAACCACCGCCGCCGGCAGAGCAGGAAAGATGCAGTAAATGGCTTCTAGAAATCCATGCGTGTGTTTGTGCATACGTGAAAGAGGGCAGTTACTGATAGTTTGTGGATCCCCTTTCTCTCTATCCCTCACCTCTGCCAAGCACGTGAAGAATGTCAATTGGCCAAAGATAAGCATTTGTTATTATTATTTTTATTATTATTATTATTATTATTATTAGTCGATTTGTGAATGTGACCAATTGCTAATTTATTCGAAAATTACTGTTGTCACTTATATAACTTAATATGGTAAGCTCTGTGCTACCAATTATATTGCGAGGCAAGCTCTGCACTGTCACCACCGAAATTTTACGGTAAGCTCAGCGCTACCTCTTAAATTTCACGGTAGCTTCGCGCTACCTCTTACAACAACAATTCCGAAGAATAAGTTTGGTGTTGGTCACATTAAATTAAAGGAAGATATATAGGGATTTCCGAACCTATCTTCACTTTTAATTTCATATTTAAATCGATAAGGGAATTCCCCGCTGATCATTTGTCATATATGTCAATTACAGGAAATGACCGTCATGAACTCCTTGGTGCTCCGTGTACCTAAGTGTGACTCTAATATGGTATTCAATGCTCTAAGAAGGGAAGTCAGAACTTTGGTGCTCCGTGCACAAACATACTTTAATCTGGTGCTCCGCGTACAAACATACATTGGTGCTCTGCGCACAAACAAGCAGTCCAGACTACACTGCTCATTAAGGATGCACTCCGAGTGTTATCATTTTCATTCGGTGAACATTTGTTTTCCTACTTTCTTATACCGAAAAATACTTGCGGTTAAGAAAGTGGGGGACTCATGATGGAATAATATAATATGCCTGCCTTATTATTATTATTATTATTATTATTATTATTATTATTATTATTATGTATAATAATAATGATATTAATTAGTTAAAGAGAAGAGGTCATCATGGCAAGAAAATAGGGAAGGCTACGGGAAGTTACAACTGATGACATTATATAAAGATTCCGGGATGCAGACAAAGGGGGGGGCCAGTCTCAAATATTAAACTTCTCTTCTACATATACTCTCCTTTCTTCTTCCATATATTTCAGGGCCATGGCCTACATACCTGTGTACATGTATTACACCTACAAACTAGTGGATTTCGGCTTGGCTTAGCCCAAAAAGGCTCGTGGTTTTCACCATATTGGTTTCCACGTTAAATATCTTTGTGTCCTGCATATTTGTTTCTTATTTATTGATTCCCTGCAATCCTTTTATCATTTATATTTTCTCCATGGAGATGTTTATTCATTAATTGGATTAATTAACACGGACCCCCGGGTTAATTAATTCCATCAACATGTCAACAGAGAGTAGCGATACGAAGTGAAAACCTTCCCCATTTAATACACATCATCACTGAAACACAGAAACACGAAGCCTGAATACAACAATAAATGAAGCCAAATACAATACATAGAAGAATAGAAGAAAAAAACAAGAAAACGAAGGGCGAAAGAGTACCAGACAGGATTAAAGCAGGAGCAGCTGGCCGCGTATCACAAAACACAATAAATGAACGAATTCATCGCGAAGGGCCAAATAAATATTCTCAACATCATAATCAATATACCATCAATAAATATAACACGAATAAATATCGTCAACATCATCATAAATATCATCACCAATAATCAATAAATTTAACGGATAAGGGACCAAAAGAAAGGGTAAAAAAGAAGGAGGGTAAACATACATTGCTCTGTTAATTGTAGACCGGTACAATGAGAGAAGCAGCCATGCACTGAAACCTTATCTCACAGTGCATATATATATATATATATATATATATATATATATATATATATATATATATATATATATATATATATATATTTACCATAAATAAAGAATAAAGAATTATAAAGAAAAAGTCGTCAACCACTCCCCACGATAAGCAAACGATGGACAAGCAGGCTGGATAAGCAAACGTAAAGAACTGAACGTTCACGTGGAGATACGACAACCAAATTCCCCGAATTCTCGGGATTTCGCGGGAAGTAAGTACGAGAGCCAGAAGATGAGTATGGCAGAAGCTGCCTAACGCCGATAGAAGAGCCCGAATTAGCCAAATCAAATGTTATAAGCAAAAAAAAAAAAAAAAAAAAAACAATAATTGTTTGCAAAAGGTACAGACGCATAGAAGGTCAGTATGGTGCAAACTGATAAACGGCGGTAAAAGGACGCAAAACATAAATAAATATTATTGTTCGCCTATTGTTCGCCGAAATGATCTCATTTATGGACCAGTGTCCCCCGGAAAACAAAACAAATGTGCCGGTCCTATTAACCGCTGATGCATCGGTAAGGGTAAAAGAGTCAAAGCAAATGAATCGATAAGGGCAAAACCGCGATAGATTTTCTCGGGTACCACATGGAAAGCACAGAGTACAAGGAAAACCGCTTGAAAATGTCATGGGCAAAATTCACTGAGCTTTTATGCGTATTTATAGATATATTGGAGTGTGTTTCTTTTTGTCAATTTTTTTATCAGTTTGCTGAGTTAGAGTGTACATATTTGATAAAGTCTACAATAGATTTGATGATATATCTATGATTGTGTGTATAAATACAATGTTTGGGTTTTTTTTTTTTTTTTTTTTGGTTGGGCAGTTTAAGTACATAACCTTCAGATCAGAAAGACTTGTGCAGAGAAGATACAAATATTCATCTTACCAGTTCGTCATGGAGAAGACAACGCAGAGAATATACAAACATTCATCTTAACAGTTCGTCATGGAGAAAACATTCCTTACTCTTGCTTATTGCCCCTCCTTGCATTTCAGGTCCGGACTCCAATTTCCAAGTGTGGAGAGGGCTAACCTGAGAGACAAGAAATTACTGTGAGGGCATTTTTTCAGTAGATTCCGCGGAGTAAATTTCAAAAGCCTTTCGTTTGTGGTGTACAATGCCTGATTACATCACTATTTATAATACATTTTCAAAATTGCATATCTTTAGATAATTAAATGCTCGTTATTAATTACATTGGAGATTGAAGAGACCATCAGTCATAATTAATTTGTGAGAATGTGGGTATTCATCAAGAAACGGAAAGATTTTTTTTTTATTTTTTTATTTTGAAATAAGATCTTAACAGATGTGCGGATTCCAATAATAGACACATGTTTTCACTTTTCATGAATGTGAAAACAATTAATAGACACATGGAAAGTCGCATGAATAGTGATCAAACGGCTTCATTGAGATAATTAAATACAGCCAAAATGATGCAATATCATTTAGGCGGGAATCTGATGTGGCAAAAAAAATTTTGCTATTATATAGAGTAAGATAAGATAAGATTATATAGAGTAAGATAAGATTGGCACGAGAGTTATATAGTGCAAAACAAATTAAACAGAAACTGCAAACTTTCTCGTATATAAAAAATTCATACAACCCATTTGGTTCGCCGAAAAATATTTGAATGGAAATGGAATTTAAATTTTAAAATGTAATTCAAATTTCATGAAAAACAAATTATCAGGAAAATAAATTCTATTATTTGGTTAGTGAAACAAAAATTACTGGGAATATGAATTCCATTGTTTGATTGGATTTGAAATGGTAAGAAATTATATAAAAATAAAGGCCAATATGCACTTAACAATAATGGTGATAATAAATTATATTATTATAATTACATTTTATTATAATAATGTAATAGATATTATTATAAATATTTGGCCTTGTATATGATTTTGGAACTCATAAAACATTATATATTTATATAATATGCATTACATTCATACAACTCATTAGAAGGTTATTGTCCAAATATAAATTCACCCAATTCAGAATTATATTGGCATATTTTTACTATTTTAATACTCTGCACTAGTTCTCTAATTTGAAATGTCAAAACTTTAGAAATTCTCAATCATCGTAAAATAATGAATGATAATATAACCAAAAAAATGAGATTAAATAATTAAAAGTATAAAATACTTTTAACATTAATATTTAATACATTGCGTCTCCTTGGTAAATAAGTTTTTTTTTAAAAAAAAAAGTCTCTTCTTTTTGTTGTACATTCTTCCCACCCCTAAACAACAAACAAACATGAAACATAAGAAAGAAGTTCCAACATCTAATTGTAAAGGAGGAAACCATATTGACCAAAATGGCTTGCTAGTTGCTACTGGTCAATTTGTTTAAAAGCATATTTGAACTTGAAAACTCACGGGTTATGGTAGTGAACTAGAAATCTGAATGATATAGGCACACTAAGCTAGAATGTGTTGCCGGAGAGCGACAAAGAGGGCATTCGGGCTTCTCGTTGCACCACTCCATTATGCAGTTCCTACAATTAGGGCATAGCAGATCAATAAAGGCAAAAACGAAAGCGAAAAGGAGCCTCGGGGATATTAATTTGAGGATAAGAAAAGAAAGACACATCAATACCAACAAAATACATGGCCACAAGGTGTGGCAGTGGGGTGCTGCCGACTGCTCAGGCAAAGACTGCATTTGCTTAGTCCACTTGCTTGAGACTGTTTTCAAGTAAGAAAAAAGGCAATTGCACTTTATTAGAATTTAGATTAGAAGGGTACAGTACAGTTTAGCTCACAACTAAAAAATTCCTGATTTCTTTATGACAGGCAAGCCAGCACAAATAAATAGGGGAAAATACTCACGTACAATGCAATTTAATTTCCATTTTTCTTTTCAATATGGTATAGATGGCTAGAAAAGGTGAAAATCGAAGGTAGAGCAGAAACTACCTCTGAAGTTGATGAGGGTTCAGAAACAAAACTACCCTTTTCAGAGACTGCAGTAATTAAATTGCCTTCTTCGTTCAAAACAGGCACACCACGCCCTGTAATACCGATATGCAAGGGTTAGCATGAGTTAAATTAGCAGACACGCATCCTAGATTTACATAAAAACCAACAGAAGCCTGTATGGATAAATGAAGGTAACTCTGAGATAATGGTAAAATAGTTATTTGGCTATTCAGATCAATTTCACTTGAAAGAACAATTAAGCAGCAAAACTTAACCAGTTCTCTGTTTCTTTAATCCCCCCTTTCAGGTGTGATTTTGAACCAATGAAAAGTAACATGCATAGAGAATGTGATTATAAAATCTCCCAGGAAGAAAACAAATCCACCTTTGTCAAAACCAATCATTAATATTAAAGAAACATAAAATTCAAAGTTCTGGTGTTAGCCTAGCGGTAGACAAGCCACTTTCCAGACATTTGGACCATTTGGTTTTAAGTCCAAATCCTATCTACTCATCCCCCTCAAGTGTACCCAACAAGAAAATTGTGAAAGTCAACCGAGAGGTATCCAGCTGTGATGCTAAGAAACATTTATCTAATGCAACAAGAAAAAGAATGTGGAAGGATGACGATGATGGCTATATAATAACAAATATATGACCTGATGAAGTTTGGTAGGTTCCAAAAGGTGTTTGTTGAGCAGAGGCTGCAATTGATGATAAACTACTACGCCGCCGCAGTCCTTCAGCAGCAAGGATGCATAGCTGAACGAGAAGGAAAAACCCTAGTATTTGATATCTGCACCACATAAATACATGATACATTAAGAATGAGAAAGCACAGGAACATTACAAAGTTGTCCAATTCAGATTTTATGATCATAATGAAAATTTATATTCACTGAGATGACTACACTGTGAGTCAGTGACAATAGGATACACAAATAGGAGCATGGTTTGTAAAGATGAAAGGGATTATATCAAAGGTAAACCTAGTTTGTATGCCTATCTCTACTTAATAATAAAAGGGATTATATCAAATGTAGTGATAAGCTGACAACATAATATAGTACAAATATTCACAATAATAGAAAAGTTGAGCAAAGAGCATGGCTCAGATACATAAAGACAGAAGTGCTTTCCCAAGGGTTTTCTGAAGCATTTATATACCTGGGCCTTTGGTTTGTTGGTTTCCCAATGAACACATAACGAATGCCTGACGCTCGTTTTGATAAGTGATAGTAAAGCCCTGTCACAATGACAATAAAAAAGACACTAGGAATTTATTTTTAAAAACTATTAAGTGTTCACTATATATGAGTTATGTTCCAAAAAACCACCTTCAAAATAGAAGAACATGAGGTTAGCGCGGATAACCAATTGCAGAATCTCACGAGCTAAAGGAAGCACCTAGATAAAAGAGCAGAGATGGATAGGTTAGTTGAGGAAAAATACTGCAGTGATTCCCATTGTTCTCCAATAGCAAAAGATTTCAAATGTAGTAATACAAAATAAGAAATTCAAGATAAGTTCTATATACAGGACTTTAAGATTAAGAAGATAGAAGACACATCAGAATTTAAAGTTTTTCCAAGAAAAAACACATTATCAAGTTTAATAAATCTATGCTATATTTATGTAACAAGCAATTTACATGGAAGGGAGCATACTGAGGGCCACCTCTGAACGGCATGTAGCCAACACTCCCTTATCTTTGTTTTAAATCTTGATAAAACTGATGGGTGTGCTCTTGATGTCGAAGAAGATGCAATCTCAGAAGCTGTGGATGCCTCAACTCGGCTGCTCGACTCAGAAGCAACACTGAATGGATAACTATCATCAAATGGGTCATCCAGGGTGATGCCTTGGGAAGCAATCCTAGAGCTACAAACAGACAAATAAGCAACTCTTATTTTGGTTAACCAAACAGCATTTTCCACTGATAGGATAAAAAGAAAGAATAACCCAATAACATCAACAAAAGTTGAAGAACATAGCACCTGACTCTTTCAGCAAGGTATGGAACTGCAGTCTGATAAAAGATAAAAAGAGCCCGTCTTGCCGGTGTTGGAGGAAGGCCATATGGTCCTGCAACCTGTAAACTCAATCATGATCGGACATTCATATTCAAAAAATAGTTATAAATTACACAATATAAAGGCTTATATGAGTGACATACAGATACTAAAATAGCTAAAACCCCTAGGATAAATGTTGTGGAGAACCTACTTTTTTTTTTTTAAACACTCATGATTCATTACAAGGTAGTATATGTTCTATACTTTCTCAATCTTTTTTCCAGCCCAAAGAATCAATGCCCCCACCACCCCGTGGTTCAATCCTGTGACCACCCATTTGGAATGATAACAAAGGTGCCAACACACTACATAGTAGTTGGCACAAAGAACCTGCTTTAATAACTCAGAACAAAGCATAAATATTTGTGCCCAAGGAACTATACCTTGCTTGGGTTTATAAATGTGTTTGGCAACAATTCAAAACGGAACCAGAAAAGAAATCGATAATCAAATTTGGTGTCTCCAGTTACTTGCCTCATAACTAGTACATACAAAATATGGATCTAGGTAAAGACAAAAGGCCTTGTTTGGTAAAATAGTTAGCCTATCAGTCAATTTTGGCTTGTTTGACCACTATTAGTTGTTTGACTTGTTAAACAAACAATATGAGTATTTGATTAATTAGTTTTTTGTAACATTTTATTGTTCTAAAACACTATAAATTCAAAAAGCTGTTTTTCTATCAGCTAATATTATCAACTAGTCAAACTCACTAACCCAATCAGCTAAAAACTATAAGCTATTTACCAAACACCCCTAAACTCAAATGCTTAAGGTCTAAAATGATCCACACACCTGAGTAGTGTCGCAGTATTCTTCTCCTAATGTTTGCTTTCCAGCACCTGTTGTGAGTAAAAAGTAAAGCATTTGGCCAAGAAGTTTTGTCTGCAGAGCATGAAAACCCCATAGAAGCCAAATGTCAGAAAAAGTGGAGTAAATAAACATAACTCTGGATAGCATTCTAAAGTGTAAAATTGACTAGCGAGTTAGTAGTAAATAAGTGAAGGCTTTACCTCATTCTGGTATGCTACAGCAACCCGTGTACCTGAGGAAGAGGAACAGGAAAGTAAAAGAAGGCCATAGCTTCGCAAAAAAGAATAAATTAATTGAGAAATACGAACCGAAGAGGTGGCGAAAAGCATCGCGGCAGGCCTCATATACGAAGAAAGTGTACTGCTCATCCTTCTCAGCTGCTCTCATAATCTCCGGTTGCTGAGCCAGCGGAAAGCTCCTAACTCCGCCACCACCGCCGCCACTAGATCCTACATCTTCACTGCTCGCCGTAGCATTTCCAGACTCCCTTGACGGTTCTCCCAATCCCATCTCTCAGCCTGTGTGAATTGTGATTCCCTCCTGAGCGTCCAGTGATTATCAATTTCTCCCCCCTAAAAAAAAAAAAAATGTTTGTTGCCTGGTTCACATCGCCACTTGACGACGTCGTTTTGAAGGAAGGTAAAGTAGGATGAAAAAGAATAACGCCGTTGCCGGGGATCGAACTCGGGTCACACGCGTGACAGGCAGGAATACACACAACTATACTACAAACAAGATCATGGGTTAAGATTTTATTTATATTGTAAGAAAAAATTGTTGATGTAAAATATTTTAAGACATGTTAATGCAGCTTTCGAGTAAATAAATAAGTTGTCATTGACATTTATGTATTTCATTACATGTTAAAATGATAATAAGTGGTGTTATAAGATATTCATTAAATAAAGATTTATTTATCTCAAAAATCTTATATTGCTTTCTATTTTACGAAGATTTGTATTTGTCCCTACTAAAATACTCATATTGAGAGTTAATATAAAACTAAGGCACTATGTTCATATAGAATTAAAGTCCAAATTAACTTCATCTTAGTTGAATATGGATGCGGCTTTTGATCCGACTCATAATGTTGTGGGGCTGGGGTGGATATTACAAGATGATGCAAGTCTATTTTTGGTGGCACGAAGCCTTTACGTACCCGGGCAGCACATGGTTGCGGAGGCTGAGATGCGCTGCATACGGGAGGCACTGACTTGGCTAAGCAGCACGGGGATGGGCGATGTAGACGTTGAAACCGATTCCCAATTTTGTTATCATGCTTTAAATTTTGCTTCGTTTTGTTATGTTTTTGGTTATCTAGTAGACGATGTAAAACAGGTAGCCTCTATGATTAATGGGGTTAGCTTTGGGTTTTCCAAGCGATCTGTGAATCGCGCGGCCCATGATTTAGCATGAAAAGCCGTTTCTATGTCAGGTCCGGGAGAGTGGTTCGACACGCCACCTAGTTTTCTTGTAGCGATTCTCGCTTCTGATTTAATGAATTAGTTTTCATTCTTCAAAAAAAAAAAAATAACTTCATCTTTTTTTTTTTTTTTGAAACAACTTCATCTTTTAGTTTTTAGTTTTTAGTTTTTACATGGTGTTAAAGTGAGTTTTTTTTTTCTCCTTGTAAATTGTTGTACCGTATTGATAATTCAAACAAACTCAAATTACGGTCATAAGAACACTTCTAGTAGTCTTTTCAACATTTACAGCTTTGGTCCACAAAGATATATGTCCAACATCCTCCAATGTATGTTTTCTCCGATGGAACAAATGAACAACGTTACAGTGACCATACCAAGCCTAGAAATTCAAGGCATTTCTCATGTCCCGCCTCTTAATTTGATTTTGTTTTGTTGTTTATTCCTTTTATTTTTTCAAATTTCATTTTGGATTTTTAGAATAAGGATGTCAATGTTTATCCGAACATGATGGGCTGGCCCGATAAAATTAAAATCAAAACTGATAAACTCGAAATATTTTAATTCAATAAAATGTTAAGCCCAATAAACCTGAAACTGATAAGTCCGGTGGGTCGAATAGGCTAGCCCAATAAGGTTATTCTTTATTATAGACGTGATGTAGAACATAACATACATGAAGTTTATAAGTAAGCTTATCTTTAATATTTTTTGATTAAATTCTAAATAAAATTTTAATAAATATTTTGCAAAATAAATTATTTTTTATAGAAATAAATAATTAAATATTATATATATATATATATATATATATATATATATATATATATATATATATATATATATATATATATATTTGGATCATGTGAGAGGGGGATACTGATATAAACCTAATCCAAGATTCAAATAAGATGGAGTATTGTCCCAAGAATGCTCTCAATGTAAAGATAGAGATGGATCGAAATACCTTAAACCTCACGAGAAACCCTTTGTCTCGAATCCTCAAAGACTTGGAAGAATCCCATGTAGCTTCAAGTACCTCGATGTTGCAATCTTCAATCAACTAGAGTCGGATCTAGTTTCCTTCGATTCAAGAACGAGTCCACGAACCTAAATCTAAGGTTGAAGAAAGTAAGATTGATTCGAGTCCACGAATCAATTTGCTAGTCGAGTCCACGACTAACCACTAATTGAGTCCACAATTAGTCATAAGGTTTCTTACACAAGTGTAAAGAAAAACTTAAGAATTTTATTGAATTAAAGCCTTGAGTTCTTCGCCATCATTTGCAATTGGGCTTGAATTGGATTTCCACCATTTTTGAACATAACAAATAAAGAGTTGTCTTAATTGTTTGGACTTAGACCTTGTGATTGGCCCAACTTGTACTCTTAATGGATCTTCATATGTTGGGCCGCATCATCCTCCCCTTCTTGAAAATGATTCGACCTCGAATCTTGTAAGCATTGTCTTCGATCCATGATATCACTTGAAATTGGCCACTATAATATTTTCCTCTATCGAATGGACTTATTATTGGTCTTTGTTGTTTCTTCCACCAATGATGTTTTAAGGTCGTAGTTATGGGCCTTGTGATGAGCCCACTATTTACCCTTACTGGATTCCATGTGTACTGGTTCCTATTATTCTCCCATTCTTGAAAAGGATTCGTCCTCGAATCCAAATCTTCAGTGAAAGACAAAGTAGCAAGCTCATTTTCTGTTTTATCATGCTCATGGAACTTTTTCTTGGGATGCTTGACACGAGTCGCTCCAATCATCATCCTACAATCAACAAGTAAGGCAATTAAGTCACATGACACATCAGGGAATTTAAACATTCTGGATGGTAATAATTCAACAAAATAAGACATATTAAATTTATGCATCTTGTTTGAATTGTCAACAAGCATAAAATCTTTCCTCCTAGAGCTTAAGGTAAAATCAAATAGAAAATTCATGGAAATATCAATTAATGATTTAGATGTATTATGGTGGTAAGTAGCACAATTCTGAACATAAGATTCTATATCTTTTTTCTTCTTTGGCCAATGAAAATATCCATGCAAAACATCATTAGTCTTTGGAAAATCAAAATGTCCCTTATGTGAATCAACAATTAAATCATTGTCCAAAACAAAGCAAAAAGTGCCAATCCCATTGATTTTGAACCAAAACCCCTTGTGCAAGTAGTATTTGCCATAAGAAGTTTTCAAAAGTGCCTTATAACTTCCAAGTGATTCCTTATCTCTATCAAATAATGTTTTAGTAAAATCAAAATTAAGGAATCTTGGATGTATGGAGGCAAACAAATTTCTAACACATCTAGCAAGTAGGTCATTAATAGAAACATGGCAAACAAATCTAGAGAATTTTAATGCATGCTTTTGAAATAAAAGTGAGTAAATAGTTACTCCCCTTCTTTTCTCTTGCTTATTATCTTTTTTTGTTAGCAAGCGAGGCTGCACTTTGATAGCTCTGGCTGGTTCTTTCCACTGTACCACTGATAGCGGTTCCTTTGTTTGGCTACAATCTAAATTAGAGGACTGGAGTGGTGACTCCAATTCTAAACATGGAGGTTCCACTTTTCTCTCTTTGATTTCTACCTTCATTGAGGCTAGTTTGAGAGCTTGCATCAATGTCAATTGAATTTCTTCTACTTGTTCAGGATACAAACGAGGCAAGACATATGTAACTCCATTCATGTGAAACACACAAGTGTTCCTCATTCCATAAGAACTTATTTTTCTATCAAATTGCCATGGTCTACCTAACAAGATATGAGCAGCCTGCATTCGAATATTATCACACAAGATTTTATCAGAGTAACTATTAATAGATAAAGGAATAAGAGCCTGATTGGTTATTCTAGCTTCTCCTGCATGAGTTAACCATTGAAAACGATAGGGAGTTGGGTGATCAAACAAAGGTAGCTGAACAAATTTAACCATAGCTGCTCTAGCCACATTTGTGCAACTTCCAGAATCTATTACCACAGTACAAGCATTCCTTTTAATTGAACCTTTAGCAAAAAATATATTTTCTCTTTGAGACTCATCTTCTTTTAAAGGGTGAACATTCAAAACCTTCTTAACAACAACAGTATGACAAGACTCACTATCAACATATTTAGAATCAGAATCTAAAGGTATGAATGGTTCTCTCTCAACATGTTCATTGGGGGTTTCAAAATGGTCACAAACCTCATCCTCAGATTTATATTCAAGACAAGAAGTAAAATTTTCAGATTGTGTTGTTATCTTAACTACCCTCTTGTTAGGGCAATCACGAGCTATGTGGCCTCTCCCATTACATCTATAACAAATCAATTCTCTATCACGTTGAGGCTTCACTGCCTCACTTACCTTTTCTTTACCTTTGTCTCGTGAATCATCTCTTGGAAGAGGACGTTCATCACGCCTTTGAGAGGTGGAACAAGTGTTGTTCCATTTTGATGCACCATTGTTGGCCTTGTACATTTTCATCTCTTTGATTTTTGCCTCAGATTCACGTGCAGCATACAAGGCATCATAAAGGGTGTCATATCTCTAAATACTCATTCCACATCGAATTTCTAAGTTCAATCCATGTACGAAACGAGCAATAGTTTTTGCCTCTTCTTCATGTATGTTGCCCTGTTCAAGCAAAATATTTATAGTTTGGTGGTACTCATCAACTGACATTGTTCCTTGCACGGTTCCCTGCAATTTTCTTTCAAGATCATAGAAACAAGATTTAGGACGAAAGGTTAGATGCATATCTTCCCTCACTTGAACCCAAGATTCATAGGGAATAAAATTAGCAACTCTCTCTCTATTTTTTTTTCGCCACCAAGATAATGCATACCCCTTAAAAGATGTAGAAACTAGCCTAATTTTTGTAAGATCAGAATATTGCTTTAAATAAAAAAGAGTTTCAACAGCATTCTCCCATTCTATGTATTCGGTAGGTCCTTTCTCACCGGTGAAGTTAGGAATTTCATGTTTAATGTTTCCTAACTCCGTATTACGCTGTTGGATTCTTTGACATCTAAAATCCACTCTTCCTACTGGTGGCAGGTGCCGCTCATCATTGTGTGGTGGTTGCACTTGCTGTGAGCGTTGCTCCAAATTATTCATTCGTTTGAGTAACCTGTCTATTTTTTCTTCTAATT